TCTCGTGACTGAAGTTGCACTACGCCTTGTCGTCGTATGCGCAGGTTCTGATTGTTGGCGACGGTGATGACAACCTCGCGTTGAAGTTGGTGTTCACGTTGAACAAAACGTCCTGAAGAGCACATATGCTGTCCACAGCAGCTGTCCAAGAACCACGTATCTTTTCCGGACGGCTCGCTTTGAGCGATGGCTGCATAGGTCGGATTTGGTTGAAGTGACTCGCGGCGAGACGTGCTGTTGTCGAGTTGTTCTTCCGGTGAGTAATATGGTGGTGGCTCTGTGATGCAGGAATCGGTCAGCCGTGTCATGCAACTGACGATGTTTCTTGTTCCTTGCGCAGGTTGTCCTGTTGTTGAGACTTGTACTTCAGATGTCGAATTCGCTTTCGTTGAGGCAACTTGACTGCTTGAAGGCCGAAGCTGCCGCTGCGTTGGTACTGACTGTTGTCGGTTAGGGCAGTGTGAGCGAGGATGCCCTGACATCTTGCAAAGGTGGCAGAACGGAGGTACTGGTTTCGGTTGATGCCGATAGTTGTTGTTGTTGTTGCGCCGTTGAGTGTGAAATGCGAATTCGGGCACTGATATCTTCCTTCTGTGTTGTTCTTCTTGCAGGTCCATATCTTGCTGCTCAGCGTGGATTTCGGCGCAGAGTGCTGCTTCTGATATCTTTCCATGCGCTCGGAGTATGGCGTGGGTGGAACGCCACTGAGGACCGAGGCCGCCGATGATGACTGTGACGAAGGCGTCTTCTGAAATCGACCCTCCGCATCGAAGGAGCTTGTCGCGCAATTCGCGACAACGGCTGATATACGCCATCCCTTTTTCGCCTGGTTTCATTTCGACTGTCGTAAGTTGCGCCATTAACCGACTTTGATTTACGCTATCTGTTGCTTGATACAGGTTCTTCAGGTGGTTGTACGCGAGCTCTGCAGAGTTGCCGTATCCCCGGTAAGACCGTATGTTCTGCTGCTGACTTGGAGTGATATTTCTCAGTAGTATTGTGTACGCCATCATTGACTGATACGTGTACTGCTGCTTATCGTACTGTGTGCCGTGTGTTGGATATGGCAGGGACCCGTCGAAGAAGCCAAGGATCTGCGCGCCTTCCATCATTAGCTCGAACTCGAATGACCAGGTAAAGAAATCCTTTCCGTCGAAAGGCCTTGTCGTTTGTAGTTTCAAGACGTGCGCGAACTGCGACTGAACTTGAAGTGCGTCCAGTGTCTTTTCTTGTCCAGGTGCGGGCTGCGGGTGTGGGATAAAGCTGACGGAGCCACGCTGAGGCTCGTACGGAGCAAAGGTAGGCCGTTGCTGTTGATTTCCACGTGCGTAGGATGAACCGTCGAGGCTCATCGGTGTTGCGTTGTTGCTGTTGTTTGACTGTGCAGGTGCCCCTTGCTGGTGTTGTTCGTAGAAGGACATGAAGGAGAAGAACTTCTCCATCATGTCTGGATCGAAGGCCGCAGCTTGATTTGCGGGAGTTTCTGAAGATGTTGCTCTTGGCCTTGTTGCCGTACCCTCCTCTGTCTGTAGGCCAGAGGCAGGAGGTGGAGTAGGAGTAGTACCGGGAGAGCCGTTAGAGGAGCTTCTCTCCTTCTGCGTTGCCATGTCTTTGTAGATATCTTGATCGTAGTCGAATTTGTCCTGACTGCTCTCATACCATGTCGGGCTGAGAAAGCCCTTAGGATCTTTGCAGGACAGAATTCAAGGGTAGGACAATGTAATAGCGGAAGCGTTTAATAAAAGGATTGTGAACCACCTTGCGCTAGTATGTGAGGGCAAAATTGATTGATTAATAACAAAGACATACAAGCTTTTATAAGAATACAAGGAATATGAAGAGATACGATTAATAACCGTTTTACTGTTGCTGTTGCGGTTCGATACAGTGTCGACTCGGGCAACTGCTCAGTAGCGAGTCAGTTGTTTGTCTTTGCTGTCGCGCTGTATTTGTCAGGTCAAAGGTGTCAGATTATAATGCATGTCTAGTCTGTAGTGGGGTACTCAAAAGTGAGTATAACCCTTTTAGGGCTTACTACTTGTATCCCCCTCCTTTCTAGTTTCACCATCTCTCCTTCCACAATTCTCTCGACATTTTCCTTACACCCTACACCCTCGAACTTCACCAAGTCACCTAAGCTACTATGGCTCCTAAGCCAAACTCTCGCTAGTTCTTTAACATGGTATCAGAGCTTAAAGCTCCTGGCCTGTGGGCCCACTTGCTTCCGCTGCCCTACTGTGTGTCGCGCGCCCCGTGGCACGCGACATTCTCGTTTTCTTCCCGCCACGCGCTCGGAACGCGTGGCGGTTTTCTGCCCGCCGTGCGCCCCGAGGCGCGCGGCGGGTTCCTACCTCGTCGCGGCGTTTTTGGGGGCCCGCACGCAGGCCCCTCCCGTCGCCTCGTCGCGGCACTTTCGGGGCCCGCGAGCCGGCCCCTCCCGTTGCCTCGTCACGGCGCCTTAGGGGCCTGCGCGCGGTCCCCTTTCGTCGCCCGTCGAGGCACATTCGGGGGCCTGCGCGGCTCCCTAGCACGTCGCCCGTCAGGGCACCCTGGGGGCCGCGCCCTTCCCCTCCCCTCCCTCCTAATTTCCACTGCAGCAGCAGCCCCTGGAGCAGCCGCCCCAACAGCAGCAGCCCCTGGAGCAGCCGCCCCAGCAGCAGCAGCCCCTGGAGCAGCCGCCCCAGCAGCAGCCGCCCCAGCAGGAGCAGCCCCAGCAGCAGCAGCCCCTGGAGCAGCCGCCCCAGCAGCAGCCGCCCCTACAGGAGCCGCCCCAGCAGCAGCAGCAGCACCTGGAGCAGCCGCCCCAGCAGCAGCAGCCCCTGGAGCAGCCGCCCCAGCAGCAGCAGCCCCTGGAGCAGCCGCCCCAGCAGCAGCAGCCCCTGGAGCAGCCGCCCCAACAGCAGCAGCCCCTGGAGCAGCCGCCCCAGCAGCAGCAGCCCCTGGAGCAGCCGCCCCAGCAGCAGCCGCCCCAGCAGGAGCAGCCCCAGCAGCAGCAGCCCCTGGAGCAGCCGCCCCAGCAGCAGCAGCTCCTGGAGCAGCCGCCCCAGCAGCAGCCGCTCTTGGACTCGGTGCAGCCGTGGGGGGGTGGGTGTGGGGGTGATGGTTGTGGGGGTGTCGGTTGTGCGTGCCGTCCCCTCCTCCTCCTCCTCCTTCGTCTCCCACTGCTGCAGCTATCGCTGAGGGGGGTGGTTGTGTGGGAGTCTGGGGTTTAGGGTTTAAGGGGGTGCTGTGGGTGTAGGGCTAGGGTTTGAGCAGGGGGTGTGTGAGAGGGGCGTTGGGCAGCTGGGGGAGGTTAAGTGGAGGCAGCAGTCTTGTCGTCAGCAGCACCAGCAGTCCGGAGGCTACAATCTCCGGTAGTCGCCAGTCGCCTGTGGGTCAGTTGCTCGTCTGCCGCTACTTTTAGCCGCGGAGCCAGTTACTCCTGTAGTCCGGGCCTTTGCTTCGGTAGCCACTGAGCCAGCAGCTCGTCTGTGTGTCTGCAGCGTCAGCAGTCGCCTCCCATCTTCTCTCCCCCACAGTCTCTCCTCCTCCTCACTTGCCCTCTGTGATTAGCTCTAGCCTTACTTACCTATTGTGAACTCTAGCTCTATGCCTGCATGCTGTACTGATTATACCCCACTTTGACTATGGGGGTGTGTCAGATTATAATGCATGTCTAGTCTGTAGTGGGGTACTCAAAAGTGAGTATAACCCTTTTAGGGCTTACTACTTGTATCCCCCTCCTTTCTAGTTTCACCATCTCTCCTTCCACAATTCTCTCGACATTTTCCTTACACCCTACACCCTCGAACTTCACCAAGTCACCTAAGCTACTATGGCTCCTAAGCCAAACTCTCGCTAGTTCTTTAACAAAAGGTCGCTGACCTTAAACTTTCGCGTAACCTCCAGCAGTTGTTCAACCTCCGAGGGTTGACTCGCCGATGTTTCGATATGATCTGTTTCGTTTCTGTCTTGGTGTTTCGACACGACAGAGGCGCTTAGATCAGTTGTTTCCAACACTCCGGACCTCTGCCTCGACATTTCCCAATCTCGGCGCTAGGCCCGTAGCGCACCCCATTTTCTCGCGTTACCGTTACCACTCTAGTTCGCTATATATTCTTCGCTCATGCCTCCGCTCATTGTAATTTTTGCTTCGATAGTGCAATTCTCGCTCGCTCGCTCAATTGCACTCGTAACAGGAAATATCATAGTTTGTATACTGCTACAGACATGATTCTTTTTCAAATGTTACATGCCTGACAGATTACGGGTAACGGGTTTTTTCATGTGCGCATGTGCCTGAATTCCTCACTTCGAACATGCCCTAGCACTTACAGCGCGAAAATACCTTAAATGATAAATTAGCTACGACGTCAGGCAGCGGAGTCAACTCCTAATACCTGCATCCCGCGTCCGAGGTGCAAGTTAAGCTGCACAAAGTTTAGGGATGCTGTGACTCGTCCCTTCAGATTCGTTCGCTCAGAATGGCTTTCTCGCCTTCAACACGTGGAGTGCTGTGTAACCAGCTCTTTGTCCTTCTTCCAGTCATCTTTCTCAAATGCGCACTCGCCGGCTCCTTACAAGGTAGCTTGGGATCAGTGAGGCAAGAGTGAGAAATTTCAACCCCTTCGCGCTTACCATCATGACATCTGTGTAATCAGCTCTTCCTCCGTCTCCCACTCGTCTTTCTCGAATGCGCACTCGCCGGCTCTCTGCAAGGTAGCTTGTCACCAGATATTTACTAGTACCGATCATTAGCGAATACCGCGCTGTGAAGAAACGTAGTTTCCTAAGCATCTAGCGCAAATTCCATTCGTACCAATGGTAGCGAATTCAACCTTCATTTATGAGTTACGCTCTCAGCAGGGCTAGTCTCAGCGTAACAGTCATTATCACTTATTTTCCTGGTTCCTCCCCTTTTTCCGTCCTATCTGTCGCCCTGCTATTGACACTTTCACCGTGCCTCTCCAGGCTCGGCAGCCCAGCAGCAGTTCGCCTCGGTGCCGGACCTGGAGGCAGCCATGTACACCGAAGCTGCGAATTGGCCGTGCGTGCGGCTGCTATCAACTGAAGGGCCTATTGGTTGCGGAAGTGAGTTATGATCCACTGTAGCTTTTATGTGCTGTAGATGTTTTCTGTACTGTAGTCCTCGTCCTCCCATCTCTCCCTCCCCTCCTCCACTTACCTCAAGCCCTCATGGTCTTTCCAGCTGAGTGGTCGGAGCGCTAGCCCACCTCTTCATACCTCTCCGCACGTCTCTCCACCTCTCTGCATCTCCCCACCCAACCAGACCCCGGCAGGGAAATCGTATCCGCCCCTATTCAGGCCATCTCCTCGCCCTCCGAGCTTTCTCTCCTCCACTCCCCTCGAGCACTCGTGGTGTCGCCAGCAGTGCTGCACCGCGTGCTCTCACTGTAAGCTTGAAGCATGTCACGAGTGCCCTTTGAGTCGAGCTTGAAGCATGTCACGAGTGCCCTTTGAGTCGACTCAAAAGCATGTCACGAGTGCCCTTTGAGTCGACTCAAAAGCATGTCACGAGTGCCCTTTGAGTCGACTCAAATGCATGTCACGACGAGTGCCCTTTGAGTCGACTCAAAAGCATGTCACGAGTGCCCTTTGAGTCGACTCAAAAGCATGTCACGAGTGCCCTTTGAGTCGAGCTTGAAGCATGTCACGAGTGCCCTTTGAGTCGACTCAAAAGCATGTCACAAGTGCCCTTTGAGTCGACTCAAAAGCATGTCACGAGTGCCCTTTGAGTCGACTCAAAAGCATGTCACGAGTGCCCTTTTCTGAAGTGCCTCTGAGCAGAGATGTCTTGCACTTCGTTCACCCCTTCAACCCCCTATCCTCCACTCGAGTTGAGCCCTCCTGTTCTCACCAGCCATGCATCACCCAGGTCTCTCTCCTGGTCTTCAAGAGACCATTGGTCCCTTGAAGCTTGAAGCCAGACTGAAGTGCTTTCACTTGATGCGTGTTGCGTGTTCATGTGCGTGTTGTCAGGATATCCAAAGATCCAGTAATTGCCAGCCACGTGGCAGGCATCATGGTGGAGTTTGCCAATCAATCATCTGTTCCCGGTAAGACTCCTGCTGTACCAATCTTCAAGCGCAGTGTACTTGATCATTACATAGGGGGAGGGACTCCTGTCCGGTCATTCAAATGGTGTACACTTGATCGAATATTTATATCCGCGTCATGGTGGAATCCGCTAACCAATCATATGTTCCCGGTAATACTCTGACGATTTTCGAGGCGCCTAAAACATCCCTTTGATCGAATATTTATATCCATCATGGTGGAGTCTGCCAACCAATCATCTGGTCCCGGTAAGGCTCTGAACTGTTAAAACTCATTCATGGATCCATCCCCTTTTGATCGTCTTTTGCCTTTTAAGATGACTCTTGAGGCACCTCAAAATTATGTTCCTAGAAAGACTGTGAACTGGTAAGACTCATTCATATCTCCCTCCCCATTTTATCACAGATCTGGTAGACAGCGAGTGAGTCTCTCCTGTCTGCAACGCATTCCCCTTTACTCTGCTTCACGTTCATTCGCTGCTGCTTTCCATCCAAATACCACCCTTCCCTCTCTCTGTGTGCCTGCACCCGTCTCCCAGCTCTCTCCCCAGCTTCCCCCTTCCGCCTGTCTCCCTTCCCCACCTACCCCAGCACCTCTCTACCCCTGAAGGGCACAGAACTTCTGGGGTAGAAGTTCTGTGCCCCAGAGGCTCCTTGAACTTATGCCTCCTTCAATTTCCCCCCCTGTGCCCTTCTCCCAGCCCTCTCCCCCGCCACCCCCTTCCCCCAGTCAGCCTTCGCTGCCTACCCCAACACCTACCCTTGGAACCCCCTCGGCTTACTTTTTTTCTCCTTCCCGTCTCTCTGGTTCTCCCACACTCCTCCCAGCCCTCTCTCTCTCGTCCCCCTTTCCTGCAGTCCCCCTTCGCTGCTTACCCCAACACCTCCTACCTGTGGAACCCCCACGGCTTACTTTCTTCTCCTTCCCGTCCCTCTGTTTCTCCCACACCGCCCCCCAGGCCTCTCCCCTGCATCCCCCTTCCCACAGTCAGCCTTCGCTGCCTACCCCAACACCTCCTACCACTGGAACCCCATTGGCTCGTCCCTCGACCGCCTGCCGTTCTCCCTCCCGGTCTCCCTCCTCTCCGATCAAGCCACAGCTGATATACGCCTTGTGTGAACACTCATCTCGCTTTTGAGAATGCTCAAAAGCGACTGATATTTAGCTGATATGCGGCTTGTGAAAAAAATTCCCCCCCCCCCCCCCCCCCCCCCCCCTTTCTCCTACCCCCCGTTATTTGCCTTTTGAACGATTTACCCCTTGTGAATCATTTGCTTGCTATCCCTTTTGAGTCAGTGCTACTTCAAAGATTGAACTGTACTGTGGCCCTCATGTTGTGCTGATTATGTCCTCATTACTGTTGTGTAACGATTTTGTCATGCCAGAACAAATGTTTGGATGTATGATCATTTCATGGCCGGATTGGCATGTTGGCATGGTGGCATGGTGGCATGCATGGCATGTTGGCATGGTGGCATGCATGGCATGTTGGCATGGTGGCATGCATGGCATGTTGGCATGGTGGCATGCATGGCATGTTGGCATGGTGGCATGCATGGCATGTTGGCATGGTGGCATGCATGGCATGTTGGCATGGTGGCATGCATGGCATGTTGGCATGGTGGCATGCATGGCATGTTGGCATGGTGGCATGCATGGCATGTTGGCATGGTGACATGCATGGCATGTTGGCATGGTGGCATGCATGGCATGTTGGCATGGTGGCATGCATGGCATGTTGGCATGGTGACATGCATGGCATGTTGGCATGGTGGCATGCATGGCATGTTGGCATGGTGACATGCATGGCATGTTGGCATGGTGACATGCATGGTATGATGGCATGTTGGCATGCTGGCGTTTTGACATGCATGGTATTCTTGTGACGGTCAGAAAGCAGAGGCCAACAGTCAACGAGAATTTCGCTACCCGCTTTACATGGCTGAATTCGATGACATCATGACTGTAAGTGCGTTGATCTATTTCCAGTGTAAATTTCAGGCCTGCTTCTCTTCCTCTCGTTTTCCGCTTGCCACTCTTGCGGCTCTTTTGCCTCTCTTGCCGCTCGTGCCTCTCTCGTCATTCCCTCCGCACTCTCGTCCCTCCGTCTCTTCCCCTATCACTATCAAACTACACAGCGTGGATAGGAGCAACCACGTCACAAGCCTGTCTAGACAACCTTGCCTGCCCCTCCTTGCTCCCTTTCCCCACCTCCCTCTCTCTCCCCTATCCCCCACCTGTCACCATCAGACCACGCGGATAGGAGCAACCACGTCACAAGCCTGTCTAGACAACCTTGCCTGCCTCTCCCGTGACTGGGTGGTTGATTTATGATGGATGTATGATGGATGCATGTATGATTTTTAACCTACTGTCCATCTCTCTCCCCTATCCCCCACCTGTCACCATCAGACCACGCGGATAGGAGCAACCACGTCACAAGCCTGTCTAGACAACCTTGCCTGCCTCTCCCGTGACTGGGTGGTTGATTTATGATGGATGTATGATGGATGCATGTATGATTTTTAACCTACTGTCCATCTCTCTCCCCTATCCCCCACCTGTCACCATCAGACCACGCGGATAGGAGCAACCACGTCACAAGCCTGTCTAGACACCCTTGCCTGCCTCTCCCGTGACTGGGTGGTTGATTTATGATGGATGTATGATGGATGCATGTGTGACTTTTAACCTACTGTCCCTCTCTCTCCCCTATCCCCCACCTGCCACCATCAGACCACGCGGATAGGAGCAATCATGTCACAAGCCTGTCTAGACAACCTTGCCTGCCTCTCCCGTGACTGGGTGGTTGATTTATGATGGATGTATGATGGATGCATGTATGATTTTTAACCTACTGTCCCTCTCTCTCCCCTATCCCCCACCTGCCACCATCAGACCACGCGGTTAGGAGCAATCATGTCACAAGCCTGTCTAGACAACCTTGCCTGCCTCTCCCGTGACTGGGTGGTTGATTTATGATGGATGTATGATGGATGCATGTGTGACTTTTAACCTACTGTCCCTCTCTCTCCCCTATCCCCCACCTGCCACCATCAGACCACGCGGATAGGAGCAATCATGTCACAAGCCTGTCTAGACAACCTTGCCTGCCTCTCCCGTGACTGGGTGGTTGATTTATGATGGATGTATGATGGATGCATGTATGATTTTTAACCTACTGTCCCTCTCTCTCCCCTATCCCCCACCTGCCACCATCAGACCACGCGGTTAGGAGCAATCATGTCACAAGCCTGTCTAGACAACCTTGCCTGCCTCCCTCTTGGTGGCTACAGGTAGCTCTTTCCTGCATCTTCCTTGCCGGCTAGGCAAACTTTTCTCCTCCATTCATTTTCCTTGCCCACATCCCACATCCCACATCCCACATCCCACATTCGACAGCCCACATCCCATTCATCTCGCCTCATCTGCTCTGATCAACTAATTGACCAATGCATCCATTTCGCTGGTGACCAAAGAGAAACTTATTCGACATCCCACATTGGACATCCCACACCCCATTCATCTCGCCTCATCTGCTCTGATCAATCAACTAATCGACCAATGCGTCCATTCCGCTGGTGACCAAAAACAAAAACCTATCTTCCAATCAGTTGCTTGCCCCATGTTGGAACCCAACCGAACCCAACCGAACCCAACCCATCTGCTCTACTCTGCTCTGCTCTGACTTGCTCTCTTCTGTTCGTGACAGTGTGTCATGTGAAAGAAGATTTGTTTTGAGACGTGACAACCCAACCCATCCAAACCCAATCCAACCCATCTGTTCTGCACTGATCTGCTCTCTTCTGTTCATGACAGTGTGATGGCATCTCTGCCTCCCATAAATGTTGCAAGCAAGGAACCTTCCAGGAAGCCGCTGGTGATCGCCATGGCTCAGATGGATGCTGCCTCGCTGTTCCGCGACGCTGCTGTCGGGGCCGAGTCTCCCGTTTCCGTGAGTTTCTGGCTGTTTTTCAAGTCGACTCAAGTCACATCCCTATGGCTCAGATGAATGCTCCCTCACTCTTCCGTCACACTGCTGTCAGGGCCGAGTCTCCCATTTCCGTGATTTTCCGGATTTGTTGGTACTTTATGTCTTGCAAAATTTGTATATTGTGAAAAAAAAGAAAGAAAAAAAAAGTGTGTCTTGAAGGTAAGATGGATGCTGCCTCGCTGTTCCGTGATGCTACTGTCAGGGCCAAGTCTCCTAATTCAGTAAGTTCTTTGTTTTTTTTTCCAAAATATTCCATATCTGCTGAAAAGAGTGCACATTTTTCATGTTCCCTTGCAACAATTCACAACTACCAGCAGCAATTTACAATCTTGTCTGGTAGATACATATACCATGGTCACAGATCATGATGCATCATGTATGCATGTTTGCCTCGGTTTCGAGATGTCTCAGAACCCAACTTGTGTCATGTGCAATACCGTGGTCACAGATCATGATGCATCATGTATGCATGTTTGCCTCGGCCCGTCCTGTCCCGCCCTTTTCTCCCCCCTTCCCTCAGGGTCTTATCTGTTTGCTAGCAGCAGCAGACGCCATTGCATCTCTCCGTTGAAACCCATAATTACTGTGTGTTTGCTTGCCCCTATCCCTCTTTCTCCCCCGTTCCCTCAGGGTCTTATCTCTTTGCTAGCAGCAGCAGACGCCATTGCATCTCTCCTGCGAAATCCCTCCACTCCAGACCTTCCCAAGCAGGTAACCAACCGAAGCATCCGTAGCAGGTAGCCAACCAAAGCACATAATCAGCCAGAGCAGGTAACCATCCAAGCAGGTAACCAACTGAAAGCAGGTAACCAACCAAAGCAGGTAACCAACCGAAAGCAGGTAACCAACCGAAAGCAGGTAACCAACCGAAAGCAGGTAACCAACCAAAGCAGGTAACCAACCGAAAGCAGGTAACCAACCAAAGCAGGTAACCAACCGAACGCAGGTAACCAACCAAAGCAGGTAACCAACCGAAGCACATAGTCAGCCAAAGCACGTAACCGTCCAAAGAAGGTACGCGAACGCATTCATGCACGCACCTTCGTAATGTACTTGCCACTCGAGCCACTTTCAGTGCGATTGTCACTGGAGTCATTATAGTTACCTTCTATGCGCACCTTTAGAAATACACCATTCGAGTCGTAAAGCAATCACACGCATGCACCTTCAGTGGAATTGCTTTGCACTTGTGAAAATTATCTCTTACTCTAGTTCCAGTTACCAGAGGCCATGTAAGTCCATTGTTAAACTTTGTTCATATTGCCCTTCTATATGTCCCCTTTATCTCCCTCCCTCAGCTTGTCTTCCTTGCTCTAAACGGCGAGCGATGGGGCTACCTGGGCTCGCGGCGACTGCTGTTTGAGCTGGAAAAGTGGTCTAAGGGGGAAGAAGGAGTAGGGAGAGAGGTGCTTCAGGGGCTTTCTCTTGACGAATTCGCAGAGGTATGTGCATAATCGAGTGGCATGCACCATTGCTCTCAAGGGGAGCGATGGGGCTATCTGGGGTCGCGGAGACTGCTGTCGATCTGGAAAAGCGGTCCAAGGGGGAGGAAGGTGTGGAGAGAGATGTGCTGCAGGGAATTTCTCTTGACGACTACACACAGGTATGTGCATAATCGCGTGGCATACACCATTGCTCTCAAGGGGAGCGATGGGACAACCTGGGGACTGGACGATTGCTGTTTGAGCTGGACGATTGCTGTTTGAGCTGGACGATTGCTGTTTGAGCTGGAAAAGTGGTCTAAGGGGGAAGAAGGAGTAGGGAGAGAGGTGCTGCAGGGGCTTTCTCTTGACGGCTTCTCACAGGTATGTGCACATATTCTGGACATGTCAAAAGTATTGCAAGCATGTGGCACCTAGACAGTGTAACAACGATGCACATATGAGATCTCCTTGTGGCGACTCTGAAGGCGCCTCAAGTTACCACGATCTGTGGAAGTGGGGTGCTTGGTTGGTCATTGTCACAACAACTATTGAGACATCTCAAAGATGTTGTACACGATTCCCATTAAAAAGGACTCTGCACAATTTCTCCTATGAAGGTGGAAATAGGGCATGTGCAAATAAGCACAATCACATGCACATAGTAGGGCATGTGCAAATAAGCACAATCACATGCACATAGTAGGGCATGTGCAAATAAGCACAATCACATGCACATAGTAGGGCATGTGCAAATAAGCACAATCACATGCACATAGTAGGGCATGTGCAAATAAGCACAATCACATGCACATAGTAGGGCATGTGCAAATAAGCACAATCACATGCACATAGTAGGGCATGTGCAAATAAGCACAATCACATGCACATAGTAGGGCATGTGCAAATAAGCACAATCACATGCACATAGTAGGGCATGTGCAAATAAGCACAATCACATGCACATAGTAGGGCATGTGCAAATAAGCACAATCACATGCACATAGTAGGGCATGTGCAAATAAGCACAATCACATGCACATAGTAGGGCATGTGCAAATAAGCACAATCACATGCACATAGTAGGGCATGTGCAAATAAGCACAATCACATGCACATAGTAGGGCATGTGCAAATAAGCACAATCACATGCACATAGTAGGGCATGTGCAAATAAGCACAATCACATGCACATAGTAGGGCATGTGCAAATAAGCACAATCACATGCACATAGTAGGGCATGTGCAAATAAGCACAATCACATGCACATAGTAGGGCATGTGCAAATAAGCACAATCACATGCACATAGTAGGGCATGTGCAAATAAGCACAATCACATGCACATAGTAGGGCATGTGCAAATAAGCACAATCACATGCACATAGTAGGGCATGTGCAAATAAGCACAATCACATGCACATAGTAGGGCATGTGCAAATAAGCACAATCACATGCACATAGTAGGGCATGTGCAAATAAGCACAATCACATGCACATAGTAGGGCATGTGCAAATAAGCACAATCACATGCACATAGTAGGGCATGTGCAAATAAGCACAATCACATGCACATAGTAGGGCATGTGCAAATAAGCACAATCACATGCACATAGTAGGGCATGTGCAAATAAGCACAATCACATGCACATAGTAGGGCATGTGCAAATAAGCACAATCACATGCACATAGTAGGGCATGTGCAAATAAGCACAATCACATGCACATAGTAGGGCATGTGCAAATAAGCACAATCACATGCACATAGTAGGGCATGTGCAAATAAGCACAATCACATGCACATAGTAGGGCATGTGCAAATAAGCACAATCACATGCACATAGTAGGGCATGTGCAAATAAGCACAATCACATGCACATAGTAGGGCATGTGCAAATAAGCACAATCACATGCACATAGTAGGGCATGTGCAAATAAGCACAATCACATGCACATAGTAGGGCATGTGCAAATAAGCACAATCACATGCACATAGTAGGGCATGTGCAAATAAGCACAATCACATGCACATAGTAGGGCATGTGCAAATAAGCACAATCACATGCACATAGTAGGGCATGTGCAAATAAGCACAATCACATGCACATAGTAGGGCATGTGCAAATAAGCACAATCACATGCACATAGTAGGGCATGTGCAAATAAGCACAATCACATGCACATAGTAGGGCATGTGCAAATAAGCACAATCACATGCACATAGTAGGGCATGTGCAAATAAGCACAATCACATGCACATAGTAGGGCATGTGCAAATAAGCACAATCACATGCACATAGTAGGGCATGTGCAAATAAGCACAATCACATGCACATAGTAGGGCATGTGCAAATAAGCACAATCACATGCACATAGTAGGGCATGTGCAAATAAGCACAATCACATGCACATAGTAGGGCATGTGCAAATAAGCACAATCACATGCACATAGTAGGGCATGTGCAAATAAGCACAATCACATGCACATAGTAGGGCATGTGCAAATAAGCACAATCACATGCACATAGTAGGGCATGTGCAAATAAGCACAATCACATGCACATAGTAGGGCATGTGCAAATAAGCACAATCACATGCACATAGTAGGGCATGTGCAAATAAGCACAATCACATGCACATAGTAGGGCATGTGCAAATAAGCACAATCACATGCACATAGTAGGGCATGTGCAAATAAGCACAATCACATGCACATAGTAGGGCATGTGCAAATAAGCACAATCACATGCACATAGTAGGGCATGTGCAAATAAGCACAATCACATGCACATAGTAGGGCATGTGCAAATAAGCACAATCACATGCACATAGTAGGGCATGTGCAAATAAGCACAATCACATGCACATAGTAGGGCATGTGCAAATAAGCACAATCACATGCACATAGTAGGGCATGTGCAAATAAGCACAATCACATGCACATAGTAGGGCATGTGCAAATAAGCACAATCACATGCACATAGTAGGGCATGTGCAAATAAGCACAATCACATGCACATAGTAGGGCATGTGCAAATAAGCACAATCACATGCACATAGTAGGGCATGTGCAAATAAGCACAATCACATGCACATAGTAGGGCATGTGCAAATAAGCACAATCACATGCACATAGTAGGGCATGTGCAAATAAGCACAATCACATGCACATAGTAGGGCATGTGCAAATAAGCACAATCACATGCACATAGTAGGGCATGTGCAAATAAGCACAATCACATGCACATAGTAGGGCATGTGCAAATAAGCACAATCACATGCACATAGTAGGGCATGTGCAAATAAGCACAATCACATGCACATAGTAGGGCATGTGCAAATAAGCACAATCACATGCACATAGTAGGGCATGTGCAAATAAGCACAATCACATGCACATAGTAGGGCATGTGCAAATAAGCACAATCACATGCACATAGTAGGGCATGTGCAAATAAGCACAATCACATGCACATAGTAGGGCATGTGCAAATAAGCACAATCACATGCACATAGTAGGGCATGTGCAAATAAGCACAATCACATGCACATAGTAGGGCATGTGCAAATAAGCACAATCACATGCACATAGTAGGGCATGTGCAAATAAGCACAATCACATGCACATAGTAGGGCATGTGCAAATAAGCACAATCACATGCACATAGTAGGGCATGTGCAAATAAGCACAATCACATGCACATAGTAGGGCATGTGCAAATAAGCACAATCACATGCACATAGTAGGGCATGTGCAAATAAGCACAATCACATGCACATAGTAGGGCATGTGCAAATAAGCACAATCACATGCACATAGTAGGGCATGTGCAAATAAGCACAATCACATGCACATAGTAGGGCATGTGCAAATAAGCACAATCACATGCACATAGTAGGGCATGTGCAAATAAGCACAATCACATGCACATAGTAGGGCATGTGCAAATAAGCACAATCACATGCACATAGTAGGGCATGTGCAAATAAGCACAATCACATGCACATAGTAGGGCATGTGCAAATAAGCACAATCACATGCACATAGTAGGGCATGTGCAAATAAGCACAATCACATGCACATAGTAGGGCATGTGCAAATAAGCACAATCACATGCACATAGTAGGGCATGTGCAAATAAGCACAATCACATGCACATAGTAGGGCATGTGCAAATAAGCACAATCACATGCACATAGTAGGGCATGTGCAAATAAGCACAATCACATGCACATAGTAGGGCATGTGCAAATAAGCACAATCACATGCACATAGTAGGGCATGTGCAAATAAGCACAATCCAATCACATGCACATAGTAGGGCATGTGCAAATAAGCACAATCACATGCACATAGTAGGGCATGTGCAAATAAGCACAATCACATGCACATAGTAGGGCATGTGCAAATAAGCACAATCACATGCACATAGTAGGGCATGTGCAAATAAGCACAATCACATGCACATAGTAGGGCATGTGCAAATAAGCACAATCACATGCACATAGTAGGGCATGTGCAAATAAGCACAATCACATGCACATAGTAGGGCATGTGCAAATAAGCACAATCACATGCACATAGTAGGGCATGTGCAAATAAGCACAATCACATGCACATAGTAGGGCATGTGCAAATAAGCACAATCACATGCACATAGTAGGGCATGTGCAAATAAGCACAATCACATGCACATAGTAGGGCATGTGCAAATAAGCACAATCACATGCACATAGTAGGGCATGTGCAAATAAGCACAATCACATGCACATAGTAGGGCATGTGCAAATAAGCACAATCACATGCACATAGTAGGGCATGTGCAAATAAGCACAATCACATGCACATAGTAGGGCATGTGCAAATAAGCACAATCACATGCACATAGTAGGGCATGTGCAAATAAGCACAATCACATGCACATAGTAGGGCATGTGCAAATAAGCACAATCACATGCACATAGTAGGGCATGTGCAAATAAGCACAATCACATGCACATAGTAGGGCATGTGCAAATAAG